GTTTTGTAGAGAATTTTAAGCGCTATCTTTTGATAATAATGAGAGCTTTACTTACAGTGATAATAGACAGGAAATCTTAAAAATACTGGGAGGCTCATTATTCCTGGGACACCCGATATATCACCAGGTTTTGTTTTGTTGATTTAATAAAATTGTTGTTCGTTCAATTCTTAGGTTCAATCAATCAGTTAAATTCATCCTACTGTTATTTCTTATAAATTCTATATTCTTTTCCGATGCTACATATTGTTGTATATTTCTCTCGGTAGGTTGATTCTCATGTTTCACCTGCTTTTTTCTAAAATTTTCAAAATGCACAAGAATTTAGGCACTTCTACATGACATACACCGCTTATCGATTGAAATGAACAGAACAGGCGCCAGTTATGACAATAACAGAGAGGAAAGAAATCGAGTGGCGTATTATGTAAATCATTAAACATAAGAGAGACTTAGATGGTGTAACTACATGAGAAACAGAAAATATGTATTAGTTTTTATTATTCAATCACATAATATTAATAAAAAAAGACCTTAAAGTACTAATTAGTTTGATAGATGAAATTGTTTCTTTGCCTGTAACAGAATAACTCAAGCAAGAAAAACATATAATAAATCACAATGTCTTATTCACCTCTTCTTCTAACTGACGATTTTACTAATCAGGAATCGAATGAGTATACAAGTAGTACAGAGAATACCATTGATTTTTGTCAGCTTTTAAGATCGACTGCAATCACTCTGCGATCATCATTCAGCAAGGATGGTCAGAATTGGTATTTAGATGCTAGTGAACGATATCAGAATTAGTACTGCTAGCGTTGTCGAATTTGTTGAGCTAATCGTTCTATTCGTGATAAACTTTTTTCTCGATCAAAGCTTAGGTTGTATCAAATTTTAGATGCAATATTCTACTGGTCGTAGTCGCTTGATAGCTATGAATACTTACGTCGTCGTTGTTGTTTTTCAAGTGAAAGCACAGTTGTTGGTTGAAAGAGCATGATTCGAGAAATGTATGCTTTATATTTTCTTAAATTTCCTTTTATTATAAGTGGCCCAGGTCATATAGTCGTAATCGACGAAAGCGCGCGGACAAAAAGACAGTACAATCAAGGATGACAAGTTAATAATCAATCGGTTTTTGGTGATATAGATAGAGAAACTAAAGATAGTTTCGCTGTCTTGGTAGATCATCACGACACAGCTACTCTTCTGCCAGTTATAGAAGAATGTATGATACCAGGAACTATAAGATACAGTGATCAATAGAAGGCTTTTAATAATATTTCTCGATTGTCTCACGACTACAAGTATGAGACCGTGAATCATTCTAGAAATTTCATCTCACCAGAAACACTTGCTCATATACAGAATGTTGAAAACGTGTGAAGATGAAGAAAAAAGTATATATGTGGCAGCATGTAACAAAGGTACAAACCTCCCTCAGCGAATTCATGTGGCGAAAAAAATTTGATGATCGACCTTTTCGAAAATCTAGTTGGACATATAAGGCTCTGGTCTTGTCTTGTCTAATCGCTTCTTCTGTTCTTCACTTTTCTGCCTTGATTTATTCTCTTAATGCTTACTATTGTCTTACCTTATTTTTGTTGAATTTTTTTTTCTCTCTGCTCATGATATCATCTAAGTCTCTCTCATGTTGAATGACTTAAATGATGCATCAATCGTGTTTTTTTCTCTTCTATAATCGTTGTCATATGCAGTGCATATCCTGTAGGAGTACCGGTAACCTGTCTGCTTTATATTATGCGTACTCTTTCGCCAAAATTTATGCAAAAATTTAGTTAAACATTGGAATGTTGCGCATATGTATACATGATAGTGATGTTTATTTGAACGAGATCAATAAGGTTTCTTTTTTCTTTAGCTATGATAATGTTGCTTGTGTCCAAACTTTAGAGGAATGAACGGAAGAAAGATTCATAACTCTTAGTTTCGCTGCATATCATTGAGTTAGATTCAAGTTTGCAAAAGTCGCTTATTTAACATATAATTGTTTTCAAATATGAAATGAAATCTAAAGGAAGGGAAATTGTTGACATATACAATTTAATATTCAACAAATCATAGCTCATAGTTTTACTTTGAGAAATGAACATGTATAACCGGAAGACAGCAGACAGACAAATGATGCTTTGTCTTCTAAAAAAGAGATTATCAGGTAGACCTATGTATGAAATCGCTATAAATCAATCAACGTTCTGTATACTCTTTGTTTCATTCGATTTAAATGAAGAGAATCTTTTTCTCGTGCGGTACTACATGCTGTTCTTGGCTGACTGGTTCATTGAGGTGTGCATGATTAGAAGAAGCACTCTTGTCATTGATTTGTTTCCTGAGCAACACTGTAGAGAAAAAGTATTAAGGGACATTAGACGAATGTGATGTCGCGTTGTGTTTCATTCACATCAAGACGCAAAAAATCGCATATTTTAATTATTTTTCGAAGGAAGCTCTATTTAAAAAAACGAATTCTGTATAAACAACGTCCTCTAGTTTGAAAGATCCACAGCTGATCAGACGCCAGTCAATCTCTAGTTTCCTTATTTCCAGCATGCATGTATGATGGATAAATGATAATTAGCCGCTATCTGATTTTCATTTCTTCTCTACTAACTATTAGTAGAAATGCATTTTTACTTTTCTGACGTAGAAACAAATCAAAAACTACTGATTGTTCAATCTGTCGACGAAACACAATTTAAATACAACCGATCGGTAGAGAATAATGTAAGAATTTTCTTGATTTTTTTTAGTCATAAAAATGAATGAGAGTTTCATGAAATCTCACATCATATTGGCTGTAATATTGTAGTTTTATTTGTGTATCGTGACGTGAACATAGACTTGAAATATACAATTTACAAATATTATTTAAATTATCGCAAAAATATTGGCATCCTAATCTATCGGCTTTATTCCCTGTTTTATCCTAAACGAAATTTGAATTTTAGCGAAGACATTTGGTCAATACACAGATAGTGTTCACCGACTACTATGGATAAATTAACATATTTCTAAGCAATAAGTAAAGAAGGTGAGTTAGTCACTAACAAGATTGAAAATTTTTCTTGTGGACACACGATAACGGAAAACTGGTGCAGAATAAATGACGGATGGATGATATGAAATGAACGAATTGCGATCGAAAACAATTTTGATAAAATACATAATATATGCTTCGTTGGTATTTATTTCATAGGATTCATCGAAATCGTCCATTTGAAGTTCAGCTAAAATTGAGAACCGTTAAAAAATAGATACGTTGCGATTGATTTATATATATTCGTCAGTCTATCTCTATATGCAACCCTTATAACTATGTTCAAATTGTTGCTAAATCCATACGTATGATATACTATTGATCTATGTCGTTTCTTCTTATTGCGTCCAGTTGTTCTTATATATATAAAATCAGAAATAAACCAACAACGTATTCGCAAAAAGAGGGTACAAACAGGACGAAAAGATCTTCATTAAGAGCATCAATATATTTACTGAATAATCGATCATTTTCTAGTAGGAAGAAGAGTCTACGCTATGTCTAGTAGTGTGATATCCAAACGTGATTGCCAATAAATGAATGAATGAATGCATTCTGATCGAAAGATAGATAGGTAAAGAAAATAAGAAAGATAAGTAGAAAAGAAAGTTTCTGTGTAGAGGTAATATTTTAACCTAATTTGGTGTATTGTGATTGTTGGTTAGTGCAGGTAGACTCAAATCCTATACGAACTTATTGAGAAGACTACATATGACGTCTGCATACGTGGTTTTCGAAAAACTCCTATGTCGATGTAAGTGTCGAATGAAGAAGCCCATTTTAAGTATAATATCAACATCAAGCACCCGCAAAGCTCGATTGAGCATCGAGTGAATAAAATATGGCGCGGTGTACCACTAAATTGGTGTATGATGACGATATTCTCGTTCGACCTGTTTAATCTCGTCGTTAGCAAGATCATCCTGAAGACAGCAATATTCAACGAGTTCTTTGGTGGATTTAGTATCGTCATCATTAATTTCCAAAAGAACTTCTTTAAACAATTGCGTGTACATAAATAACACGTCAATACCATGAAAACTTATCGAGATCAAAGTTTGGTCACATCTCTCACGATCGATTTGTAATGCTTTACAAATCGGGTCGATATCAGTGTAAACACCTTTTACCTTCAACATTGTTTTGGCCCATTGTTCATGGACTGATCGATTACGACAGAAGACATAAATGGAATCCAATTATGGCCATTCATGAATTTCCGGTACGATATGCCGTCCCAATGAATCAGAAACGATCATAAATACTTTTTCTTTCTGAATTTTGCTAAGAAAATTAACACATTCTTTAGCATCAGTAAATGTCGTGATTGAGGCCACAAGATGCCTTAGTTGTGTTAATGAATTTTTAAAGTCTTGTTTCGATTCGTCAATATTAGTATCAAGCCAGATGAGGAGAAAATTTTGTAGAATACGACGACAGCGACGAGGCAGCGCAGCAATACTGCTACTATTGGTGGTGGCTGCTGTTTGTTCACTAGCAGCAGACGAAGATGATGATACTGATGATGACTTGTTGGGTTTATTTGTAGTGGCAGAGGAGGAGCTACTTGCTGTCGCTGTTGTTGATTTCTTTTTATCCATGATAAATAATGAATGAATGAATGCAACGGTACGATTTCGTCTTTTCATATATATTGTCGTTTCTTCCTTTTGTTGTCACTTTTTCGTCGACGTCCAATAGGAGTGTATGTTTTGTTTTTTTACCTTAAGGATTTCTTATCGTTCGTTTTCGGAGTGTGCACGAAGCGACGACGAAGCCTCTGTGCAAAAGCATGGAACAAAGAACAAGAGTGAAAATAAATAAATGAATTTATCGTCATGCAAAGAAAAAAAATCATAAATAGAATCAATGATTGTTTTTCTCATAGTTGTTCTTGATCTTCATGCTTTTTTCCCATATAGTAGTAGGAAAATGCACGCAGAAATCAGCTAGACGAAAAAGAAAAGCACAAAAAGAACTTATTTTGTTTCTTTGATTTGTTGGAATCAACAAGGTTCAATAGTAAATTGCACAAAAAGAATAAGAAAAACATTATTTACAGATTGATTGATTGTATCGTAGAACATCACTCAATATACTATTGACAGTCCTTGTTTGAAATAATAGTAAACAAAATCATCATTGGTTTCATGCACTGCAAGTTCAAAAAGTATTGTTGAAAATTGTATAAAGTATTTTTTCGATCATATGTCAGGTTTTTTTCTGAATATGCTTTGGTTTTTCAAAAAAAATTGAGTTTATTCGTTGTTAGGAACGTGACTGAGTACGAATGTAGAAACAAAAAATCTTCTTGTCATTCAATGAAAAGCTCAAAAAACTAATTCTAAATAGAATAAATCTTTCTTGAAAATCTTGAAATGATAACAAAACAAAAAGTCTCCTTCTGGGACATGAGCAAATTTCTAGAAAATTAGTTTTGGTAAAGTCATTTTTTGAAGTCGGATCTTGCTGAAAACTTTCTCATTGATATAGGTCGTGGTAGGAAATCGATTCTGAAACTCTTGGACTTTTCTCTCATAAGATCAGAGAGTTATTCGTTAATTGTGTTCTAATTAATCAACTAATTACGTTTAATTAGGTTTGAACTGTAAGAATCATACTTTTTACCATGTGTTCATGATAAAAGAACTTTTGTCAACGAAACTTATGTACAATAAAAACTAATATGGTTGTAATTAGTTTAACTAATAAACTATGAATTATTGTTACACTTGCGCATTTCTTTTTTTATTTCATATACAATTAACATCCTCACGAATTTAAGTAGAGTCAGATGTCCTAATTCTGCCGGAAAAAAAACATGTTTTGTATTTTGCGTACAACTCTTGTTCTGTATATGGTAGAGAATTAAATTTTTTTTCCGGAATAGAGCAAACATTTCTCTATCGATTGGTAAAAAATTAATTAAAAAATAACTAATTAATCACTCAGAAGAAGCGTGACAACGGAGAGGGGGTCAAATTTTGGTGTATTCCTAAGTCTGCCGCTCCCTGTAGTTTTTGTTCCCAATTCTGCCATTTACATAGAAAACGGCAGTATATTTTACAAAAAAAACATTTTTTTTTAATGAAATCGATTGAATCTGACAACAAAAAATATACCATTCGATTCGCCTTGAGACGGGCTGTCGAGTGGTATATTTTTTGTTGTCAGATTCAATCGATTTCATTTAAAAAAATGTTTTTTTCTAAAATATACTTCAGTTTTCTATGTAAATGA